CTTAATTTTAACTTGCTATTCATTTTTATCATTGCATTTGATTTAATATTAATTTTGATACGTAAGTTTGACATTGATTTTTATAATTTATCATCTTTTCTTGAGAAATTTCTAAAGTAAACTTATTAGCTTTAAAAACGAGGGAAAACAATGCCAGCAAACAGAAATAGCTTTAAAAATACAAATTAAATTAAATTGCCAATTAATAAGCTAAACTAGTATTAGGATTCATTAATGGTACAATTAATCCAGGGACCAAATTGGGGATCAAATTCAAATTAAAACAGAAATGCTCAAATCAGGGACCAAAGTAAAAAAGAAACAAAAATTGAACATCTAAATTAAGGCAAATTAAAAACACAAATTAGTGACCTAAATGCATAAACGAGCTAATATTAGGAGGACAAGTTTTCTGATGAATTTTTCGACGATTTAAGATATTCGACGGTGACTATTGTTCATGGTCATTCTTAACTTAAATAATTTATAAATCTTAATTTTAAATAAATTAAATTGTTTAGATTAATTATTATTTTTAATAAAAAATTATAATTCAATAAAAATATAATAAAATTTTAATTAATATTTAATTTTAAATAAATCCTTATACTTTTTATATTTACATAATGAAGATAAATTTGCTTGTAATACATTTCGATACATCACTTTAGTGATACGTTACTGTATTCGACAAACGATGTAAAATTTTCCATTATTTTTAATTAAATTCAGAATAGTCTATCCCTTATTTGTTTTAGTTAATATAGGATTATAGTTGTTATTTAAGTTTTATTTTCTTAGTTAAAAGTGGATTTATTTAAAATTGAAGTACAATTATTTTGTGCCCAAGTAAAGATGTTACTTTATTTTAAAATATATCTAGCATTAATGTAAAAGATATTAAATCTTTCTACTTTTAAAATTGTTTTTGATTTTTTAAAAGCTAATAATTTTTATATTAATGGTATATATATTTATAATAAAATAATGCATTTACTGAGGCATGAAAAAGTTTTGATTTAACATAAAGTAAATATACTTTTAACTGAAAAAGTAAATATTAAAATAATAAATATGATGCTAGATTAATTAAAATAAATAATTTAAAATCTTATATTAAATTTAATTACAAATAAGGAAATCTTTATGTATCATTGAGCCAATACAATTCATAAAACTATACTATTTTGCTTTCAATACTCCATTTCACCAACATCCACCTACCCTCTCGCCTTCTTACATGTACATTCATCTCATTTTCAATTTCTACATCACAAATAATAATAAAAATTAAAGTAAAATATTATTATTTTTTAGTTTAAGCTAAGATAATTACAAAATTATATATATTCTAAAATTAAAGTAAAATATTACTTACATTTGATGCGTCAAATAGATATTATCTATTAATTTAATGTCACATCATTAATTTTGACGACAATAAATGAATATTTTATAATCAAATAAAAATTTAAAAATTATTTTATAACTTTTAAAAATTTAATATCAGTTAAATATAATTTAAAGATGATTTATGTATTTTGTTTATAATTATATAATATATTAAATAAAATCTTTATTAAGACAACTAGACAAGACATTTTCTTCTTCTTCTTCTAATTTTGTCTTAATAAATCGGTTTTTAGAAATTAGAACCACACTTTAATTACTAATATAAAATAAATTGACTAAAATTAACGTGCATCGTTTTTATTTACTTCAGAAAATAAGAGAAGAGATCATAATTATTATTGCCAAAGAAACATTTTTATACAAAATTTAATTTAATTATTAATTAAATTTTAATTTAATACACAAATCAAATTATTTCATTGATTAAAAAATTATTTTTATTCTTAAAATCTCTCATTGTAACAATAACGATCATAACAAGATGATTAAACATTTATTATTTGAATTGTTGAAAATTTTCCAAACTAATATTACTCTATAATCATTTTAGTTTAATAATATAATATGAATTATAGTCCGCCTAAAAGGACGTCTCCGGTTTGCATTCTGTGTCGTCCTTTTAGACCATCCCTGCCGCTAGGCCTATATATACATACCCCTTCTCTCTCCAGGGGAAGGCAATCTTTCTTTTTCTCTTTGTTTAATTGTTTCGTCAATAACTAATCCAAGTCTTTGTTTCAAGCCATCGAGCTATTATTATTTTTTTCTGGGTATATATTGTTTTTTCGTGTTCTTAGTTGGTAGCCATGAATGCTCTTGCCGCAACCAACCGTAATTTCCGACTGGCGTCGCGTTTACTGGGGTTGGACTCTAAGCTTGAGAAGAGTCTTCTGATCCCTTTTAGAGAAGTCAAGGTATTCTCTTCTTCCTTGTTCGTCGGATGGGTGATTTGAACTTGATCGTTGATTTGTTGTTGTTTTGGATTAGGTGGAGTGCACGATTCCCAAAGACGATGGCACCTTGGTGTCGTACGTTGGATTTAGAATACAACACGACAATGCTCGTGGTCCGATGAAAGGAGGAATCAGATATCATCCTGAGGTCTTCACTTTTCTTCCTTGTTTGGATTTTTGTTGTTGTTTTATGGCAATGCTTGTTTGTTGTGGGGTAGGCATGTTTCTTGTTAGGGAAAAAAAGACGGATCTTTTCTGTGAGAATTCTTAGTTTGTTCAATCAACTCTACGGCTTTTGTTTTTATTTAATGTCTGTAGAATTACAGTAATGTGTTTTAGAGCTTTTTGATAGATTTTATGCAGCTTAGGACATGTTCTTCCAGATCCCAACGTTAATGAAATTTAGCAAAGAATTCTGTATATTGGGTTTCTGGATTTAGCTTTCTTTTCATGTTCTGAGTTCTAACATATCCTCTACGTCCGAGTTGTTTCCTCTGTTCTAAATTTCAACATGGGATTTCAGTTGTGTGTGTCTGTGCTTGATCTCAAGGCATGAAAGAGCCCAAATATCTCTGGGACTCAATCTATGCTTGTTAATTTTGCTTGAAGGTTGAACCTGATGAAGTAAATGCCCTGGCTCAACTAATGACATGGAAGACGGCTGTTGCCGACATTCCTTACGGGGGTGCAAAAGGTGGCATTGGATGCAATCCTAGGGATTTAAGTAAGAGTGAATTGGAACGTCTAACTCGAGTCTTCACTCAAAAGATCCATGATCTTATCGGTATACATACCGATGTTCCTGCACCAGACATGGGGACTAATGCACAGGTTATATATATGGTCCTCACTTTTATGTTTCGAACTTTCATCTACTTCCTTTCGGTTTCTAAATCACAAATCTGTTTGAATAAATATGTGCAGACCATGGCATGGATTCTGGATGAATACTCAAAGTTTCATGGACACTCACCAGCTGTTGTTACAGGGAAGCCTATAGTAAGTGCTAAAGACAATTTTAATGCTTTTAGTGAATGTTTGACAACAAAACCTAGATATAATTATACTGGAAATCTTAGGATCTTGGCGGATCCCTAGGAAGGGAGGCTGCAACTGGGCGTGGTGTTGTATATGCAACTGAAGCTTTGCTTGCTGAATATGGGAAGTCAATAAAGGGGATGTCATTTGTTATTCAGGTATAATCAACACCAATTGTTACATGGTTAAAATGCAATTCCCTTTGAGATGCTTCAAAACTTCATTTTTTTCCCCTAATGATCGTATTATTGTTAAATTTTCATAGGGTTTTGGTAATGTGGGGTCTTGGGCGTCAAGGCTCATACACGAGAAGGGTGGTAAGATTGTTGCGGTGAGTGACGTAACCGGTGCTATCAAGAATCCAAAGGGAATCGATATACCAGAACTGCTAAGGCACAGAGAAGCTACTGGCAGTATGAAAAGCTTCCGCGGCGGAGATTCCATGGATCCAAATGAACTGCTTGTTCATGAATGTGATGTTCTCATCCCATGTGCTTTAGGTGGAGTCCTGAACAGGTTAGAATCAATTTCCAAGCATATTGGTAGTTGGTGTAATCTTATATCCCCATGATTGCTTCTCATACTGATTGTCTCACATATTGACTTATATATCTTCTACTTTCAAGGGAAAATGCTGCAGATGTGAAGGCCAAGTTTATAATAGAGGCAGCAAACCATCCCACAGATCCAGAAGCAGATGAGGTGAACTTCCTCCCTTGTTTTTAAGCTAGTATAGGTGGACTAGTATCTGACTCGAAAATTTCGATACTGCAGATTTTGTCGAAGAAAGGAGTAATAATACTACCCGACATATATGCAAATGCAGGTGGGGTGACTGTCAGCTACTTCGAGTGGGTTCAGGTATCTCATCTTTTTAAATTTTAACTTATAAACCTTTCAAAATAAAGCAACTCTTACTACTATAGAATTACTAGAACAGCCTAAGGATGGTACATTTATTTTCCATGTGATTTGGCAGAACATCCAAGGATTCATGTGGGACGAGGAGAAAGTGAACAAGGAGCTGAACAAGTACATGACTCGAGCTTTTCATAACATAAAGAACATGTGCCAGAAGCATGATTGCAGTCTCCGGATGGGTGCCTTTACCCTCGGTGTGAACCGTGTAGCCCGTGCGACTACCCTTAGAGGCTGGGAAGCATAAACTGCTGCTCCCTTCCGCTTTTCCTTTACCCGTTTTACTTTCTACTCTCCATTGGAAAGCTCAAACAGTAGCTTTCAAGAATTATTCGCTTTTAACAATTTTATTCTTCTCTTATGAAACTTCATACAAATTTCAATTATATATTTCATTTATAGGGGATATTTGTTAAGTTTCAATCTTTACAAGCTTATTATTGTTATTTTGAATAATGGCATTCAATGTGCCTAATAATTTTTTCTTTGGGACGTTGCAACCTATTACTATCGTTATATCCATCGAGCCTCGCTGAAAATTGAATAACTTTTCAGTTTATAAAAGAAGACGGAGCTAAGACAGTAACGAACAAATAAAAATATAAACCAAAAGAGAGTAATCTTTATATCCAATCTAAACGTTATAATGGGACCTCAAAAATCACTTCGGCATAAAATTTATACACCACTTTCTTGGGAATTTGGCAAATTAGATTGAGATGAAAAGGTGTACCTTTCTCTTGGGAATTTGGCGAACTCGCTGGTAGTCATCTGTATTGAGTTGAAGTGGCCGATGATCGTAGAGCAAATGTTTTTCCTGGCTTTGCCTTTGACCAAGAACCTGGCATCTCCAGCTAGCAGTTTCATCCTGGTTTCTTGACATTATAGAACGCAGGTCATAAGTAGAAACTAAGAACTACAAGCCTCTTTTTTCTTTTGCATAAAAAAGTAACAATTTCGTACAAGAAATTAAATTTAAAAAAATAAGGCCACACAATGTATACAAAATTTTGGTCTCAAAGTTCAAGTTTCCTTATTGTATTTAGAACAAGATAAGCAGTGCATTTTGTATATGCATAACACAAATTGTGTCAGCAAAGAAGAATAATACGAATCCAAATATGATTTTTTTTATGAACGTGGGATTCTAATTCAAAAACAATAAATAAATGAAATAGAAAATATGAAAGAAAGAAAAATCAACCTACCACCCCTTGTTAAACTAATGAATAGCTGAAATTCTGTTCGAGGATCCTTGCCATATTCCATTTCATCTTGTTTCTCATAATTTCCAACCTATGTGCAATTGGAGCAGATAAAACATCAGCTGGTAAATGAACTATCAGGGGGGAGGGAAAAGATCAAAGAAATCATAAAACATACTGCAGGAAGGTAAGAAATTGCATCTTCTAGGAGAGGGTTTTTTTTCCCCAACTCAACCTGTTTCCCTTCATCCCAGGCCACAGTCTTCATCTGCATTTATTCAATAATGCAAGAATATGGAAGCATTTAAAATTAAAAGATGAAAGTCCTTATACATCAAACTCAAGGGGAATTACTCCCCTTCCTACAACGTCTTGTGTAGGAAGCGGATATTGCGGCAATTTCTGGAAAGAGTGAACGTTCAGTTAAAACCATAGTTTTGACATTTTTGTACTTGAAGTGATAAAAGAATTCACTTCAGTAGGACAAGCACCCCAGAAGAAAACACGCATACGAAATTGGGGAAGACAATAAGCACCAGCTACCACCATACCCATTCGAACTTGGTAGTTTAAATGGATTAGTTGACTCAAAGCGTACCGCCCAAGAAATCCCTCAGAAAACTTTACAATGTCAACAACATTCTCCATCAAAACGAAGTTCGGCTTCAAGTACTCCACTATCTCCATGAAAAACAAAAGATGTTTGTTCTTTTCATCTTCCAAAGGATTATCCTTGTTTCTAAACCTATTGAACCCACTGATACCTTGGGATGGGAGTCCTCCACTAGTCACATCAACATCAACTTCACCCTACAAGGACTAGAAGGGAAACATGGGACAGACTAAGGGAGCGTTTGGTTTAAAGATTTTTGTATTCATGGGAGGAATATTTTTTTTCATGTATTTGTTTCCCACGTTTGGATGACCACATTTCTATGTAAGGGTAAAAGTTTAATACCAACAGTAATTTTTTTGTTCTGTTTTACTGGGAATATTATTCTCGCATCTCCCTTAGATATTTATTTATTCACATCTTCTGTTGGCTAAAATACCCTTCTCCCCGTAGCTTACTTTTGTGAAGGAAAAAAGTCTTCTTCTTCGATTTGGCGAGAGAAGCTCACATAGTACAATTCAAAAACAAATATTTTTTCTTCCCTTCACTTATAATTTTCCCTTTTTGGCATTCACATGGAATCCATTTAGTTTTCTTTAATTTCGAATACCCTTTACATCAATCACCAATTCTTTCTTTCTTTTTTGTGATAATCATTTTTTTTTCTTTTGTGTTCGAAAAAGATCTGGTTGGTGGTGGATCCATGGGGAGGTTATTTGTGGTGAATCTTGAAGGGAAGGCTTATAGTTGCAAGAACTGCAAAACCCAGCTTGCTCTTTGTGATGATATTGTCTCCAAGGTTATTTTTCTTCTTTCTTATTGTAACCCCCACAGACTGATAAGGGTAACCAGATCCGATCTGGGGTGTCACATTTGGGCCACCGGAGCGACCCACTGTAAAAATAGCGGAAAATTTAAAACTTTTATTGAAACGTGTAACTTATAAAATCAGTTGTCACTATTTAAAAATAAAACAAATTTCCATACTCGTATATAAATCAAAATACAATTACATTCCCCCTAATCACATGTACCATACTCTGCAACAACGCCGGAAGAACTCCCTTACTGAAGTCGATAGATGCACTGGTACAATTCTTTTAACCTGAAAAAGGTGAGTAATAGAGTGAGCTTCGAAAAGCTCAGTAATACAGAACTACCAGATGATGCTGAAGAACGTGCATATACAGATAAACATACATATCCTTATTATTTCCAAACATTTACAGATTTTTATGCTGAGCAGAGATCCCACTGATATTTCAGATGGTAACGGGGCAATGAGCTTTCAGTTCAGAAAAATATTTCGGATGACTGAGTTCAGGAGATCATAATAGGTTTTCTAGTGTGTTCCCATAAAACCAGTAAAAAGATATATATATATTTTTAAAGCATATATATATATACACCCCCATCCTTTCACAATCTGTTTGTGTAGGTTCCCCGGAACCATACACCCCACACAACCAGTAACAGTAAGGCCCTGAGCACACAGCCGAGGAGCCTGCAGTAATCTTCCTCCAACAATAAACCCCCCAGATAAAACATTTCTCCGTCGGTATACGGAGATATCAGAAATCAAAACATAATTCATATCAAATATCAGAACAGAATCCAGATCAGAATCAGAACAGAATTCAGGTAATGTATCAGAACAGAATTCAATTCGGAAATCAGATAAAATATTTATATAATTAGGGAACACACCAGAGTTTATAGGTATTATTTAGAGGTACTGTATCTGGCAGAGAAACACAATTATTCAGTATGCCGATAGAATATCAGAATTCAGAATCACAATTGGAAGAGTTCAATAACTGAAAAAATCATCAATTATTCAGAATATGACTTGAGCTGTAAGGAAGAAATGAAGATTCATGACATTTACAATCTATGTCGATTGATCGGATTATCAAACAACTCTTAAATGAATAGCTCCAAAAAATTAATGCTTGTCGATTGATCAATTCATTGTTCTTCCAGGGTATTTACTCTTTAATACCACAAACTCTTGTCCATAGATCATTTTCGGAATCATCACTGAATAGATCTTCCAATGTCTTTATTTTATTTTTACGCTTCCAATATATCATGAAATACTGACGTGCTTGATTTGTAGTTCATGATCCAGAAGAACAGTACATTGTGTATGTTCATTAACGTTTCCAGACTCATTCACACCACTTACTTAATCCTTAGTGCTTGAGGTTGCTTAGTTCATTTAGCATTCAAGTCTATTCCAGTTACTTCGGGATTTTCCAGAGTAATTCCGTACGTTTCTGAATTTCAGATACATATTGTACTTCTGTTCAGTTCAGTTTGGTCTTCGTGGTTGATTTATCGAACAAATATCCAATTCTTAGTACCGAATGCAATCTAGAGTTGAGCTGAGCTGAATACTTCCAAAATTATCATTGAGCTAAACTTGAGTAGACGAACATGTATTCAAGTAATATCTATGTCGTTCAGGTACTGACATATTATTAAGGTTGATTGGCTCACTTAAGTTATGTTCCATAACTTTTAAAGGTAGTCCAATACCTATGCTTATTTGGATTCCTTAATTAATCCAAGGTATTTACTTAGTTTAGGCCATAAGGTTATTTTGGTAATTTTGGTGTTCAGTTTTATTCCATTTATTTCAGAGCTCGAGGATATCCAATCATTCCTGAGCTTGGTGATATTCTTGGGTCATTTCCATTACATGGGTATTTTGGTCATTGTATAAATTCAGTGTACTTTAATCATTTCCTTCCGTCTGATCTTACTATTAAATTCAATCTTATCATTTATTTCAGTCCTTTCGAACAATTCTGACAATAGAACACCCCCGACAAATTGTTCTTCAGGTATTTACTCATAACTCGGATATTTCCGGGTCAAGTTCCTTCTCAGATTTTACAAACGAAACATCAGAAATTTTCCTGCACTAAGTCAGGATTTTAACAATCAAATCCGTACTTAATCGAGTTAAGTACGAATCCTCTAAGTATTTTCTCATTCAGAGTCAACTCAGACTATTCTACCTCTTAAGGCATTTCCGTAATTTCTTAACCAGATAATTTCGATATTAGCTCTTAACGAAAATAATATAATTTAGAGATCCTATGATTAATTGCTTTCTTGAATACTCTCTGATCTTGAAACGGTTCTCTTAACAAACTTCTAGCATCCTTCATAAATTCTCATAGGATTAAAACCGGTTATCCATAATTTCCAAATAAAACTAACATTTCTTATACACATCAATATTTTTATCAGATCAATATGTCAGTAAAATCCTCTTATCTAACTTCCATATTCAAATCTTGTCTTTTTATAACATAAGGGTATTTTCATAATTTTACCCTACCGTAGTATTCTCACAATTTCTCATCCAAGTACCTTTAACATTTAACCTTTGATGAAATAAATTATAAGTTGCAGATACATGGCTGATTTCTTTATCACTAATCACAAACTTGTAATTTAATCTCACAATTCCTTAATCTCTTATATTAGTCATTCGATCTGTAATTAGTTACAGAATTTCTACCACATCATATCGAGTGTATAAATTATTCAACTCCACCAAAGAGACCAACATTATCTTGTTCATGCATTTATCAATATAAACATGTTCCATAAAGCATAAAGAGGTAGTAAAGTATTACCTCAATTTCCGTGCAATACTGATCGACCATAAAAATTCCATTCGAACACCTTTGATCTTCAATTCAACTTCCAATATTTCCTCGGATCCATATAAACAGAAATTACATCAAAAACGGAGCTTAATTTTGAAAAACGGATCGAATCGGATGATAAATCAGTCAAAAATAGCTTATCGGGTTCGAATTTGGCAAAACCGACTTCGGATTCGGATTCAGGACGTCGAAAGAATAAAATATGGCTTTTCGAAAATTTGGAATTTTCGGTCAAAATCAAAGTCAATGGGTTTGACTAGAATTTTTGAGGCCTTCGGGTTCGAATTTCGAGAAATGGACTGCGGAATCGGATTTGGAACGTCGAAAAATGTCAAGATAGGTATACTCGGTCGAAGTCAAAGGTCGTTTAATGCCCGTTCAAAGCCGGTCAAAGTTTTGGTCAACAGTGGTCAACGCCGGTCAACGGTCAATGGGTCGGGTCAACGGGTTGGGTAAACGGGTCGGGTCGGGTCGGGTTATGACCGGTCAAACCGGTCAACTATGCACCAAAACCGGTCAAACCGATCATTTGGACCATCCCCACGCGCAGTAGCGGCGCGTGGGACCCCTTCCGGCTGCCTAAAAATCACGGAAAAATTCTTAAAAATTATTTTGAGCGATTTCAAGATACTTACAAAGCTCGGTTCGGCGGAGAGCTCGATTTCAACAAATCGGAAACTTTGACCACTTCACATCCTCACGCGCCGCCGTCGACGGAGACCAAGAATGACACCGGCGAACTCGGAACGATGCAACGAACACGATGGTGCGAGAGGTGTCGTAAACGGATGATCCAATCGTCGTGAATCGATGAAAAACCAACTAAAACCGAGTTATTACCGACGATACTTCCGACTGAAATTAACGACGAACGGCGATGATTCACGACGAAAGGTTTGAGGGGTTTGGTTCCTCGGTTGAAAACGAACACGATGGTGGTTTCGACTCGTCGATCGGAGGTCGGACGGTGAGTAGATCGGAGTTGAAAGTTGGTTGATCGGAGAGGGAAAATATGGAAAATTTTCCAGAAAACATACGGGAATGGGGGATTTATAATTCAACTCATAATAAAAATGGGTAAACCTTGAGTTTAGTCACTGAACTTCCTGCACTTCTTAAAATGGTCTGCCAACTTTGAAATGTTACAATTTAATCACCAATTCTTTTCAAAAATACCAATTAAATTCACCAATTTATATTTTCTTAAATTTAGCCCCTAAATTGGGGTGTTACAATTCTACCCTCCTTAAAAGAATTTTGTCCTCAAAATTCATTCGTGTCAGATAATTGCATAAATAAAACTTCCATAAGTTATTTCATATCTTCACGTAACTTTTATATAAATATGGATCCTCCACTAATCCTTAACCAGCTGAGCATACATTCTTATCATAACTTTTCCTCATTTCAATAAAAGAATCTGAACGAAACTTTTCTCGAGTAATCAATCTCTTAAGAATTCTCCCTCAGTCCAAGTAAATAATCAAAACAACTTTATCCTTGT